CGATTCCGACTCGATTCGATTCGGTGTCGTTCTTTGGCATCGGCCGGGGCTGGCCGGAGCCGGGCGCGGCGATACGATTTCGATCCTATTCGGGACGATTCGATGGCGATCCGATGCGTTTTCGATCCGATCCTATCTCGCGCTTCGAAGCAGCTCGGGCCTGCCTCCTCGCTGGAGGTGGCCCCCTGGTGGTGCTGGTGTCGCTTCTCCTTCCCCCCCCCCTGGGCGAGGGCAGCGAGGAGGCGGGAGGACACCGGGCCCGGGCCTCCGATCCGCCTCGCAGACCACCCGCGCGGAGGTGTTCTCCGGGGGAGGCTTCGGCTTCCGGAGGGTCCTGCCTGGGCCCCGGATGTGCTCGGGGGCGCCCCAAGAGGAGAGCGCATGTGTGCCTGAGATGCTTACGCCATGGCGCCGAGCACCGGAAGAGGAGCGTTTTTTGGTTCTATTCAAGATGCTGAATTTACGCCATTCCTCGAAGAAGAAGAACAACTTTTGGCGCTCTGCGCGGTTTTCTTTGATCCGCGCTGGGGCCCCCCAGCGGCGCCTCCGGCGCCGCCCCTTGCGCGCTCCGCGCGCCAGAGAGGGGGACCCAGCGCAGAATCAAAAAATTCGCGCGGAGCGCCAGCAGTTTATGTTTATGTTTTTGTTTCCTTCTAAAGAGGGGTGGAGTCCACGGGTCAAGCTTTTGAGGCTTCTCGGGGACGTTCTGTGGGCCTTTTTTGGGCCGCTGCGAGGCATCTCCGGGCCTCTTGGGAGATAATTGGGCGCCTGCTGGCGGTCTCAGGGGTCCTCTTGGGGCGGAGGGCTCGGAATGTCAGTTCGAGTTACCTCTTTGGGGGCCCTGTTGGGGCTCTCTTGGGCCATCTTGGGCGTCTCTTGGGCCGTTTCGGGACCCTCTTCGGCCTTCTTGGGGCCCTCTTGGGGGCTTATTGGGCCGTCTTGGAGCGACCTCGGGGGCCTCTTGGGCCGTCTTGAAGGTTGTGATTACCAAAAATGCGAAGATGCGCAGAATATACGTTTTCCCATGGACGGCTCTTGCTTCTCGGGGCCCTCTCGGGGGTCGTTTTGGAGCCTTCTTGGCGAGTCTTGGTGAGGCCTCTTGGGCCGTCTTGGGTCGGTCTTGGTCGTCCTTGCAGGATCCTCGGCGTGTTGGAGTTCAGCTTGAGCCAGCTCAGATGGCATCGTGGCCATCCCAGAGCTACCTTGCACCCCCACAAGCGCGGTTCGGCGGATTCCCAGGCGATAGCGGGCGTTAAAGGGGGGGAGGGGAGCAGGGGGACCGGTAAAGTCAAGTCTCGCGCCCGCGCCGGTGGGGAGTGTTGAGGGCATAGTCACAGCCAGCTCGGAGGTAATCAGGGGGGCAGCCCGGGGGGGGAGGGGGGGGCAGCCCGGGTGGGTAACGGCCTCTGTCGCGAAAAATGCCACGCTCTCGAGGGGGGGATGGATTAGGGGTAAGTCGGGCCTGTCCCTCTACAGGGGGAATATCCAAAAATAATCCCAAAAAAGTATAGGGACTCTTTTTTGACTATTCTTGAGCAGTTTGAGAGTATTTTTTCAATTTTTCAACCATAATCCCCTTGTAGGGGGACGTGACCGATCTAAGATTAGGGGGAGTGGATCTTATGGTGGGGGCCATGACATCTCCCCGGATTTCACGTGGCCCCCTCTGCTCGGTCCCTTTTCGCTCCCTGGTCCCTCCCCAGGCCGCGCACATGCCTCGTGCCATGATGCGCACCCCCCCCTCTCGGACGCTCTCCTCCTTGGACGCCCCCGAGATGACCACCGAATCGACAATTTGCATAAGCATACCGTGAAAATCCATAGTGAGGGTGGGTAACCTTCCCAAGGGCACCTTTGCGTCCTCAGATCTGTTCGGCAGCGCGCCTCGTTGGGAAAGCTTCAACTGGAGCATCCACTGCCGGCCGCGCGCAGAGGGGGGTAGAAGGAGGGGGAAGGCTTCTTAGAAGCACCCCTGCTTAGAAGGCGCCGGCTTTTTCTGTAGCTAAAAGGCCGGCGCCTTCTAAGGAGCAGCCTGCTTCTAAGAAGCCCCCCCCCTCCCCCTACCCTCCTCTGCGCGCCGCCAGCAATGATCGTCCAAGGGTCTTGCGTGCTTACATCGCGTCCTTACTGCAGATTCTGACTGCACACGTTCAGCAGCCTGCGCAGATCCCTCGGCTCTGGAGACCCCCTACGGCGGCGCCGCCAGGGAAGGAGAGGCCCCGCGCCGAGGCAAGCAATGCAGCGCGCACCGCAGACAGTTTGTTCCCAGCCATCCTGGTTTGGGTCTTCGTTTTGGAGAGACAGCGCCCCACGTCTCCTCTCCTCCTTCCCCCTTCCTCCCCTCCCTGCGTGCCCCTGACCTCCGCATGCCCATTTCGGCACACCCCTCACACGATTCGTGGCACCATAGGGGACTCCACCGAAGGCCCAAGTGGCTGCGTTCGCATGACACCATCTCGCCCATTTCGGCACACCCCTCACACGCTTCGTATCCCCATAGGGAGCCCCACTGAAGGCCCAAGTGGCTTCGTTCGCATGGCGCCACCGCACCCATGTCGTCCGCACCCCTCACACGTTGCATAGCCCCATGGGGAGCTCCACCGAAGGTGCAAGTGGCTGGGTTCGCATGGCAACACCGCGCCCATTTCGGCAAACCCATCACACGCTTCGTGGCTCCATAGGAGCTCCACTGAAGGCCCAGGAGGTTGCGTTCGCATGGCATCACCGCGCCCATTTCGGCACGCCCCTCACACGTTTCGTGGCCTCATAGGGAGCTCCACCGAAGGCCCACGTGGCTGCGTTCGCATGGCACCACATCACCAATTTCGGCACACCCCTCACACGCTCCGTGGCTCGATAGGGAGCCCCACCGAAGGTCTTAATGGCTGCGTTCGCATGGCACCACCGCACCCATGTCGGCACACCCCTGGCACATTTCATAGCCCCACAGGGGGCCCCACCGAAGGCCCAAGTGGCTGCGTTCGCATGGCACCATCGCACTCATTTTTGCACACCTCTTACACGTCTCGTGGCTCCATAGGGAGCCCCACCGAAGTCCAAAATGCCAGCGTTCGCATGCGCCCGCCGCACCCATTGTTGCACACCTCTTACACGTCTCGTGGCTCCACAGGGAGCTCCTCCGAATGCAGTGCATACAAGGACGGATTTCACAACTGATCATGGTTGCGACCTTCGCCAGGCAAAGTTTTCTTTGTGCTGCCCCCAATTGCAGAAGCGGATCGGGACGAAAAATAGGGCTCCCCTGGTCGAAGAACCAAAAAACAACTAAACAATTTTTTTTGGCGCTCCGCGCGGATTTCTTGGATCCGCGCTGGGCCCCCCCGCGGCGCCTCCGGCGCCGCTCTTGGCGCGCTCCGCGCGCCAGGAAGGGGTGTCCAGCGCAGATCCAAGAAATTCGCGCAGAGCGCCAAGAGCTTATGTTGATGGCGTCGGAGGTCCGGGGAGGGGATGGGGGAGGAATCGTGAGGACCTCGCGGCTCTTGGAGCACGGGAGTTTTGGGCTGCCTTCAGCCCAGGCTGTATCTCGGCTGCTTTCGCCAGGTTCGTTTGCCTGATATTTGCTTCGCCAGTTCCCTCCCCCTGTGCCTCCAGCAGGGCGGTCAGTCCTGGCGCCGTCCGCTCCAGCTGCTTCCAACGCGGCTCGCCCGGCCACAGCTTTGCACTCGCAGCTTCGCTGCAGTGGCCAAAACATTGTGGTGATAGGCCTCGTGCAGGGCCCTCCGCGCGGCAGCGTTGCTCCATGGCCGCGTGAGCGCCGCCGTGTGAGCGCCCCAGACGTCGTGTGGGAGCGCCCTGGGAGCGCTCCGGGAGGGTCGTGGGGGCGCCCTGCACGGCGCTCTGAGTGCCCTGCTCGAGTGCACGTTGTCTACCGTGCATGCTGCACGCTGCTGAGGCGCCCTGCACGGGGCACTGCATGCCCTGCCCGAGTGCCCATCCTGAGCACACTGCTGGCCATAGCAGCGTGCAGGTGTCGCGTCCGATCTGGCCACAAGAAAGTGCGAGCCTCCCTCAGTCGTGCCCCGCCTCCCGCCCGTTCCGTCTCGCGCCTTTCCTGCTCCTGCCTCTGGAATCCCGTCGTCCCGCCCCCTCCCTCATTCGATCCGAGCTCCTGATTCCCTCCCTCGCTTCCTCCCTCCCTCCCTGCGTGCTTCCTCATCCCTCCGTCTCTCGCCTCATTTCTACCCCACTCGTCCTCTTTTCTCCATCCTCGTCTGTCCTTCGCCCTACTCGCCTCCCTTCTCCCGCTTCCCTGCATTCCCTGCACCTCCCTCCCCCATCCCGTGTCCACCCCTCCGCCTCATTACCCCTTCCGCCTCCCATCGCTTCCCCCATCCTCGTCCTTCCTCTCCCTGACCTCTCTACCTCCTCTTGCCTCCCTCCGCCTTCACCCTCCGTCCTCCGTCCTCCCTCTTTGTTTGTTCGCCGTCCAGAGCCCTCCCACCCCCGCCCGCCGCGCTCGCACGCGGGCAGAAGAGAACGGGGGTGTCGACTCGCTCGTGCCAGAGCACAGTCTCTACTGTTGTCAGCGTCCTCCGTCCTCTCTCCTTCCCTCCTTCCTCTTCCCTCCTTCCGCGCGCTCCTTCCTCATCCTGCCGCTGCCTCATCCTTACCCCTCCTCCATTATCCCCCTCCTTCCCCCTTCCTTTTCCTTCTACTCCATTGTTTTCCTCATGCCTCTCCTCCTCCTCCTCCTCCTCCTTCTCCTCCTCCTCCTCCTGATTCCCACATTATCTTTCTCGCACTTCCTTCATTATCCTCCTTGCCTTTGCCTGCCTCCGTCTTTGTTCCATTCCCTCCCCCCACTCCTTCTCTTTCATAGTTCCACCTTCATCCTTCCCTCCGTCATCCTTCCTTCTCTGTCCAATGTTGATCCTTCTCTAAAGCCTCTTCCCTCGTCCACTCATTCGTCTGTCTGGTCGTCGTGATTCCCTCCTGCTCCCCATCGTTGTCTTCCCTCACCCCGCCACCCTCTGCAAGAGGCAAGTTCGTGGTCCCCGAGGGCAATCTTGGTTTCAGCCTCATCGTCTACTCGATCTTGGCGACCCTGTGCATCGCTCTCCTGATGATCAGAAGAGTGCCTTGGGCAGGGCCGCGTGCTCCCGCCGTGCTGGTGTACGGGGGGGCCTCCGGCGTCGCATTTTTTTTGTGCGATTTGAGCACTTGGGGGTCTCGATCCCTCGCCTGGGACGGGCTACTCCTCCCGAGTTGCGTTTTGCTGACGGTCGGGGGGCCAGGAGGCTGCCCCCCGGGGACCGAACACCTCGCAGCACGTGCCGCCATTATTTTTCTGCGACATCCGGATCGGAGGGGAGGGAGCGAGGGCAACGGCTAGCCAGCGGATGGTCGAGGAGACAGGGTAGGGAAAACGAGAGGGAAGCGGAGGAGGAGGAGAAAGATGAGGAGGAGGAGGTTGACGTCCACGATTCGATTCGATCAGTTTGTTCACGTCTACTTAGGGTGTCTCGACGCTGTGTTGCCAGGTTCGCAAGGGATGATACGCTCCATTCCTCCTCGCCAACCCTCTCCCCCCCTCTTCCGCTTGCTCCCTCCCCGCTACCCCCTTATGTCCTCTAAGGCGGGCTCGAGCGTTTCTCGGGCCTTGCAGGGATCTTCTTCGAAACGCCAGCAGTCCCTGCGAGCCATTGGAGTTCGGTGGTGCTGACGAGTGGCGGGTTCAACGGGGGTGCGAAGCTGAAATCCGACGGCGCCCCGCGCGTGGTGCAAGTCGATGCCGATGTCGCCAACTGGCGCTCTGAGGTGTTAGCCGCGCAGGACTCACACGCGATCGTGGACCTGGATGCGGTTGAGGCCCCGGTGGTGATCAAGGGTCTCGACGTGCTCCAGGACCTGGAGGTGAGCGCCGTCATCATCGACTACCTGGAAGTGAACGGCGTGATCTGCGAGTGCCTGAAGGTGACCGGCATGTTTTGCGACTGCATGGAGGTGACCGTCCCGACCTTCGCGTGCCTGGAGGTGCCCGTCGGCATCTACGAGCGCATGAAGGTGCCAATCGACATGGTCGGGTGCGGGAAGGTGATGGACGTGATCCTAGGCCTAGAGGCCATAGGGGGGTTGGAGGGTATCCAGGGCCTGGCGGTGGTCAAGGGCCTCGATGCGTCCGTCGGTGTTCCAGGGCCTGGTTGTGACCATCTTCGGGTGCGCGGAGGTGCCCCTCGTGATCCTGGGCCTGGACGCGGTAGGGGGCCTCGGCGCGGGCGAGGGCCTGGTGGCGATCGAAGGCTTGGAGGTGTTCAAGGGCGCCTGAGTGGCCATCGTGTCTTCGTGCTCCTGGAGGTGGCCGTCGTCCTTTTCGCGAGCCTGGAGTTCGTCAGCTCCGAGTGCCCGGAGGTGACCGTCGTGATCTTCGCGCGCCTGGAGTTGACTGTCGTCTTTGTCGGACGCATGGAGGCGCCCGCGCCGTAGGTAGGCGCCGTGGGCATTCTGTCATTGCACTGTCAGGCCTCCGTCCCCAATGTAGGAACGAGGATGAGAGGACGACCCGCTCGTCTAGGCGGGGTGCGATTTGTTTATGCCACGCTGCGCAGACGCCTCCGCCTGTTGATATGACCAGGCCCGCGTCGCCGCAGCAGCGCTCAGGCCTCTCCGCCCTCCCTCAGAACGAGAGGATGGCGGCTTTGCTCGCGAGAGTGCAGGCCCGTGAAGCGGCATCGAAGGGTGCCAGCGCGGGCTAAGGCATTCGTGGTGCCTCATCTGTGGCTAAACTTTCGCCGCCTCTGCTGGCTCTTCTGTCTCGAGCTGAACCTTGCTGTTCGGGCCAGATAGAGTTCTTTTCTTTTGCTCTGGCGCGCGCTCTCCGCGCGCAGGCACGTGAGGCTGCAGCCGGCGTTGGCTCTTATGTTTTCTCGCGTTGCCTGTTAGGGCCGTACGAGGCATACCGCTCATAGCTCAACGGTGAGCTCGTTTTTGCCTCCATCCATATGTTTTCGAATCCTAAATGCGGGGTGAATGCTGCTTGCTTCCCCAGCGGTTCTCGCGGCAATGTCCTGGCGCCTAACAGTTGGCTGGACGCACGCGTGGCCCAACCGGGGGCGCAGGTTGCTGGCGGCAGCTGGCAGGGGACGCGAAGCGGGTGGGCGCGTGCACGGCGTGGCCGCCGTTGGCGCGCACATGCTCGCGTGGCGCTTTTCTCCCGCGGGCGACAGTGCCCGGTGGTCAGAACGTCTCCTGCTAGGGCTGGCGGAGGCGCGGCAGGGTCGCGGCCCACGGTTGCGGGAATACTCAAGGTGTCTCAAGTTGAACGTTGCTGACTGGTTCCGCCTCCTCGGCCTGCAGAGGAAAAGACCCGTTATGTCTTCCCTTCTTCCGTCCCTTCCCACCCTATTCCCTCCCTCCGTGGTCCCATTCGTTGCGCCTTGGTGGAGCGTCTCTTGGCCCTCACATTCCAAGTCGGGAATGGACTACATCATTGATTTACCACTGCAAGCTGATATGTACAGGCTTCTCAGGGCGACGAACATTATATATGTTTGTGTTTGCAGCGTCGACGAACCAACCAGTGTTGGCGTATATATAGATATCTACATGTATTGCCGTCCGACCTCCTACTCGAATATGATGTATACTACCCCTGTTCCCCGTTCCCCGTTTTCCAGAGGAGTGCCTCTCCCCCCCTAGTGTATAATCTTCCGAGGAACGTCTCCCCCTCGTCCGGCTTACCCCGAGTCTCTCTCTCTCTCTCTCTCTCACTTCTCCGGGGGGGAGGAGGGGGGAGGATTGAAAAAACGTCCTCGTTCTCCTCCCCTTGCGCATTCCCCTCGTCATCGTGTTGCCCATCCCTTTCCCGCAGTGAGAGCGCCTAGTATGAACGCGCGCCTCACAATCCCAACTTCGGCCCGCGAGGGTCTTGCGTTCATACCACCAGTCCTTAAGCACGTTTTGACTGTACTGCTTTTCTTCCTCGCCCCCACCTCCGCCGTTCTTGTTCCCTCTTCTGTCCCCCCCCCCAACTCCCCCAACGGGTCTCCTGAGGAAATCTCCGCTGGGCCCCGTGATGTATGGAGGAAATACCCATGATCTCGCATGATTCCCAAATGGATCCCATCAATTTCCGCCTTTACATGCGTGGCCTTGGCTCCGGTTTGCTGGGATCCATCCCGCATCGATTGGGATCGGTCTTGGTTGGTTTGATCTCGTCCCATACCCATTTGTCGTTGCTCCGCCTTCGATCCTCCCTCCCACAACCCTGGGCTACAACTTCTGGAAGGTCTAATTTTGCGTCGAAGCTGGCACATTAGGTGTGGCAGAGGATGTCATGGTCTTGCGAACGCCCGGGTTATCGGATTCGCGCCTTCCCTCCCCCAGGATCACATTGTCAGTTGTGCAGGTCGGGTGGGGGGGCGCAGTGAGCTCGCAGGGAGCGCTGCGTGCAACGTCGCGGTGGTGTGCAACGCCGTGGTGCTTGTGTTTGGATGCACGTTGGTGAAGGGTCGGGGAGTGGCAGGGGGAGACGACGACGACGACGACGACGACGACGACGACGCACGATGATGTAGACAGCTCTCTGGTGTACACGACTGCTGCTGCACCAGCGGTTGCGCAAGCATCCCGGGCATGGTGGTGTGCAGAATCACTGTGGTGCACGGCCAGTGCGGTGTACCACAACTTGGTGTGTACACGGGCGTTACGGTTTATGCATCCTCTGTTGAGCACGCGGACGATATGGTGCTATGGTGTACACAGGCACAAATGCGTTGTGGCCAACATGACGGGATTGATTCCCTCGCCAGAAAAACCAATCATCACACATATTCTTCATATTGGCTTTGATAAGTTCGGAGCCCCACGATTTTCTGGACCTCGGTCCCGCTGGGTCTTTGGGCGTGTACGCAGTGCTGTCGTGTACGCAAACGTTTTGGTGCACCAGAGCTGTGGTCCGCACCAGCAACCGTGGTGTACGCAATCGTCGCAGTGTACACAAGCACCGTGGGGTATTCAGGTGCTGTTGTTCACACGGCTGCTGTATTGCAGACGTGCGTTTTTGGTGTACGCAGGCATTGTTCTGTAGGCATGCGCTGCGATGCTGGCAAACTGCTGTGGTGTTCACAGGCGCCGTGGTGTGCATTACACATGCGTTGTGGTGTACACATACATGATCGGTCCCAAACTTGGGGACCGTCCGTACCCTGAGCCAGCAATGTCAATAATCACAAATAGTTGACATATTGAATATGATACGGGCGTCTTCCTAGGTTTGGGATCCGTCGGGACCTTGGAGATGCACGGAAGCGCTGTGGCGCAAATGCTCGCCATGCGTTGTGGTGCACGAGGCCCTTGTGGTGTGCGCAAGCATCGTCGTTTACACAGGCGTTGTGGTGGACGCGGCTGCTGTGGTGTACAAGGCATTGTGGTGTACGCAGGCATTGTTGTGTAGACAGGCGCTGCGGTTCACACAAACAGCTGTGGTGTACAAAAGCGCCGTGGTGTAGAGTGCACTAGACAGGCACTGTGCACGGAAGCGCTGTGGCGCAAACGTTTGGCATGCGTTGGCACGCAGGTCTTGTGGCACAAGCATTGTGGTGTACATTGGCCCTGTGGTGCAAGCCGAAGTTGATGCTGCAGCAGCACTCGTGGTGTACACGAGCGTTGCGGCGCACGCATTCTTTGTAGTGTTCACAGGCATGGTGGTGCACGCGTGCACTATAGTGTACACAAAATTCCGCGGCTATTCAGCAATCCCATCCCGCGTATCCCAGTGCCATCTGTCAAGATAATGTCCACAGGCATTCTCAGAGGGTGCCCGCATCGTAGCAGCACCAGTAGCACCATCTTCGCAGCATCGTTAGCAGCTATAGGGGCCGCAGCACTGGTGCGCGCAGGTATATGCAGGGCTGATCTCCAATTCATCCTAACTCGGCTTAGTGCCGCTTCTGGCTCAATCCCGCTCAGTTCGGCTGAATTAGTATTTTGCCTAATTCACTGCATTTGCCCTGTAGTCGGGCTCAATCGCCATTCCCCGTTCCTCGGCAGGACACTGCTTTGACGCCCTGGTCCGACTGAAGTTTTACTGCCCTCTCTTGCGGGTCCCGCCCTCCGGCCTGACCCGTCCTCTCTGCGCGGACGACTTTTGTGCCTCATGTCCCGCTGGCGTCTCCCGAGACGTTGTCAATCCTCGACCCAGGGAGTGGTACGGTGCACAATTTGTTGGCACCCAGGGCCGAAGACCTCGTTTTTGATCCTGGGCGATATTCGCCGTGATCGGCCATCTTCCTTCCCCCCTCCGGATCACGTCATGCTACTTTGCCCGCGTGCACAGAGATGTCCTGCGGATTCTTCAAGGAGTTCCTAAAACATTCGGCGCCCCACCGCCGTGATGTGACCGGCGTGGACGAACTCCCCCACCCCCCTCCCCTGATCACGCCCGTTATCGTTTATCGAGAACAAAAGAATCCCTGACCCATGTAACACGATGAGGACGTGGCCTCACTTAGGTCCTCGTCGTCCCATTGGGGATCATAAATCTTGGCGGTTGGGTTCGATACGTCTGCATAAAGAGACCCCTTTATCCCTAAAGTGTTTGGTGTTTGGTCCTCCTAATTTGGAACCCCTCCTAAAGGGTTTGGGGTACGTTTATTGGTTATCAGTCGCGAGTCATAAAAAAACAGGATCAAAGTAGGGGCTGGAAGGACTCCGAACGCCTTCGGTAGCTTTCCCGAGGCGGCGACTCCATCCAGAGCGACCGCCCAGGTGATCGATCCTCGGGGCCCTCGGCGGGCGGTGCATGTGGACATGTTCGGGCCGCCCGGTGCGAGCATCTGCATGCCCACATCCACAACCCCATGGGGTCCCGGGGCGTCGGCTCCCCAGGCGGTGGAAACGGATGCGTCCTACCTCCTCGCCTCGCCCTTCTGCCGCCCCCGCCCCCTCCGCCTCCTCCGCCTCCTCCTCCTCCTCCTCCTCCTCCTCCATCTCCTCCTCCTCCTCCTCCTCCTCCTCCTCCTCCTCCTCCTCCTCCTCCTCCTCCTCCTCCTCCTCCTCCTCCCCTTCTCCACGGTGTGCTCCGTCCTCGGCATCAGCATGGGGCCCCGAGCCTCCGCCCCGACCTGCCAGCGCCGCGGCCGCCGCGGGCGCGCCGACCCCCCCCCCCCGCGCAGGTGCTCTTCGGAGGCGAGCTCGGAGGGCCACCCGTGCCGAAGCGCCCCGCCCCCGCCGCGCCTGCGCCGCCCGCTCGCCGCCGATACTTGCCCCACGTTTAAGTCGGGCCTGTCCCTCCACAGGGGAATCTCCAAAAATTATCAAAAAACATAGTACGGGGACGGGGACCATTTTTTGAATACTTTTGGGAATCTTTGGGGGGTATTTTCTGACTCGTTTTTACGAGTCGTTCAAAATCCCCCTGTGGGGGGGCAGGCCCGACCTAATCCTACGTCTGGCTCACCTCGCACCTCCTGCCGCAAGAGCCCCTCTTCCCCGCGCGCCGCGCTGTTTTGCCCCTCGCGTCTCTTCCCCGGACGATTTCAGCCCAAGGATGTGCCGCTCTCCCGTCCCCTCTCCCCCGAGGGTGTCTGGTGGTACTATCGCCTCTGTCCGTCGGGGGTGGACAGATCCCCCAACAGTGACACGTCGATTAGTGTTTTGTCCGTTTTCGGTTCTCGAGAGGGCGCCGCGGCCGTTATTTTCCAGGCTTGCGCCCGCCAGGTTTGGGCCCGAAGTCGTTTTCACTAAACCACGTTTTACTAAAGGGAGGTTTGTCCATCCCCGAATGATGCCCCAACCCCCTCCCTGGCCCCCCTCGTCGGGGCCTCCCGGAGGAGGGATAGTCGCACGCACCCCTATCGAGGATGGGCGCCCCCCCCCTTCGTGTATCCCGCGAGCGTGGCCTCAATGGTTTGGTCCACTCGAAACCCCACAAAGTCGAGGATCGGGGTCGCCATGCCCCCCCGTTAAGCCGCGACCCCCCTTAGCTCCAGCAGGGGAAAAACACAGGCATGATGGATCTCCCACTCCTTGGAATGCAAGGGGATACACAGAACGTGGGGGGAAAACGAACGCCCAGAACGTGTGCGAACATCTGGGGCGTCCTGGGATCTGTGTCTATTTCTTTGCTTGTGTCCCTGGGCCCCACTTGTAGCTGTGGACCCACCTAGCCGTGCGGGGGCCCCGCCCCCCTTGCGGCCGTGCCGCCCCCTCCCCCCGGCCGCCCGCGAGGTTCGCGTCGGCCGCCCTCATGGTGTTCATGTGGTTCTTCTACATCGGGATTTTCAGCTGGTGCCCCAGGAGGACGGGGAGGGAGGGAAGAGGAACAGGTACCCACACCGCTGCCCCTTCGCCCGTTCTGCCCTTTTTTCTTCGGCCTCCTGGGAGGCCCTCGTCGCCAGCGCTAGATTCGCCTCGGGCTCCTGGTCAGAATGCACCCCATGAGGGGTCCGGGAAGTAGCGGTATCGGTACCTTTTGGTTCCTCCAGGTGGAGGGGGGAGGAGGGAGGAGGAGGAGGAGGAGGAGGAGGAGGAGGAGGAGGAGGAGGAGGAGGAGGAGGAGGAGCATCGGAACTACGTAATCGGATCGGATGGAAGGAGGGTTCACGGTCGGCCTGCACGGGAGCCTCAGCGCTACGCGAGGCAAGCAACAAGAAAGACGTGGCGGAGGATCGCTTATCATCCCTGCCCGCCCTGCCTGCCAGGCAGGCAGCTCGAGAGTAGTTCCTCCGAGGGGACCGTGCGGCGGAGGCCCCGCCTGAAACGAGCTTGGTCACGTCGACGCTGAATCGCCCGACGGAGCCAAGGCGTCAGCTCCACTGACGGGCAGCGGCGGCGGAGGAGGACCGTGGTGTCCCGTTGAGTGAGATTGATATTGAGATCGATATTGAGATCGATACTGAGGTCGAAACTGAGATCGATATTGAGATCGATGTGGTGGCCCGTGGTGGCCCGTGGTGGCCCGTGGTGTCCCGTTGAGTGAGATCGATAGTGAGATCGATAGTGAGATCGACAGGTTTCCCGTGGTGTCCCGTGGTGTCCCGTTGAGTGAGATCGATTGTGAGATCGATGGAGTCAGATGTTGGTTCCCCCCTTCTCCCCCCCCCTACAACCTCCTTATCACCCGAATGGTGGTCGTATATGTATATGCGTCGTGGCCGCTTTCTGTCCACACAGCTCGGGGAACGATATATATTGCAAGAAGGGGATACTATATGCTCGGGTCGGACGCCCGCCTCCAAGGAGAACATACAGCAATTGTACGTCTCTGTGCGGACTTTTCGAGAACGAAACTCGCTCCCTGGCCTCTGGCCGATCGCTTTCGGCCTCGGGCCGATCGCCTGCGCTGCCGTGTTCGCTCGCTGCGTCTTCGGCGTCCGTGGCCTCTCGACCTTCCCGGCCCTCCGGCGTAGTACCACTCCGCCCTGGCTTGCGCCGGTCCAGGATGGGGAATCTTCCTTGGGGGGATCTGGGCCTCGGGGTGGGGATGCGGACCCATCAGTCGTCGAAAGCAAGTATTTCAAGATTCCCAGATTCAAATCTACTTTGAGCGCCTTCCTACTTCAATGGTCGAGTGGCTTCACCTTTTGTCCGTCCTCTTTTTGGGGCGGACGGAACCCAGTCTTTTTTCAACGCTTTCCAGCTTCATGTTTCTATCTACTTCTTCCGACCGATAGGTACTGCGAATCTCCAGGGAGAATAATTATATCCGCGCCTAGGACGCCCTCGAGGGCGCGAGATGATTCTCGCTTCGCGATTCGGCTCAGATTTCTCCTCCTCTTCTCCCTTGGGGGGGGCTCGAGAGCGCGAAGTTAGGCGCCCTTTGACAGCGGGGCCAAGGCTTTCTCAGTGGGGATGGCAACAGGTCTAACGATGCTGGCGAGGGAGACGCGGAGCAGCGGGACAGAAATGAGGCACATCGTCAGGGAGGGGAACGACGCAGATGCGGCGAGGCGCGCTGTGTGTTCCCGTGGCTGGAGCAGTGCACGCTGATCATCTTGCTTGGGAAAGACTCGAGTGCGCCGGAACTCGTGTACGCCTACGCTTTTTGACGAGCCCGTCCTGGATTTTGACAGTCCAGTGTTCGTGGGATGTTTGCAGCAGAAAGCTCGCGTCGCGTTTTAGATTGGGGCTCGTCATTTTCAGGATGGCCCCGTCAGGCCAAACCGAGCCCCTCGAGCTCGAGGCTCACGTCTCCCCGATGGATGGGATCGGAGGATCGCGCCGCACCGCCGATACATCGGCGATGCGCTTCGGTGTGGAGCCCGATTTTCTCCGCGTTGGCGTCCCCGATGCACCGCCGACGTCGTTGGTGCATCGCTGGTGCATCGGCGAGACTTTGCCCATGCGCAGATGGGGGGTAGGGGGAGGGGGCAAGGTTTCTTAGAAGCACCCCTGCTTCTCAGAAGGCGGGGGCCTTGCCTGTGGTTGCAAGGTTGGCGCCTTCTAAGAAGCAGCCTCCTTCTAAGACGCCTTCCTCCCTCCCCCTACCCCCTCTGCGCGCCGCCAAGCGATATTGCGCGATCCTCCGACGCCATCTACACAGACCTCATCTGGGAAGCCCCCGACTTCGCCCGATTTGGCTGTCGATGTTCGCCGATCCGATTCACTTCGATCGCCGATCCGACTTATCGATCGGATTTTGGGATCTCATGCATCGTGGTTCCATCGTGGTTCCGGAAGGATGTGGAGGGAGGAGAGTAGAGGATCGGTCGCTGCCATTGTTCCGAGGCGCTTGGATTGACGGCGGGGCCCGTTTCCATACGAAGTCGACGCGCCCTGTCGCCAGATCAGGCGGCAGTGGCGCCGTGTTTCCGGGGACACGTCTTCGCAGGCGGCTTCTCTCCGCCAGCCTCCGATTCTTCGACGAAAAGTGGGGCCGCTCAGCAAAGAAGGAGAACCCTGGGACTCACCCCAAGGGGGCTATCCCGACGCGCCCCATGTCGAGGATGGGCGCCCCCCCCATCGTGTATCCCAGGGTTGGGCCCCCAATTTCTGGTCCACTCGGAGGCCCCACGACGCCTGGGATGGGGGTCGATACACCCCCCGTTACCTCGTGCGTGCGTGCGGTGGCCGAGCGGTCTTGCACTGTTTCTGGGTGCGTGGCTGCAGTGCGGCTCCGCGGTGCGGGTTCGTGTTCTTCTTGTTGGCGGCCCCGCTTCGCGACGTGCCCCGCGACCACCCCTCGACTCCCCCTCGACTGGCCGCGCGATTCGCCCGCCGACCAGCCGACGGTCATCCGCGACCCATTCACATTGCTTTGTCAAAGACCCACGGAAATACGCCCGCGGAGGGCTCGCTGTGTGAAAGGATCGGCGCCTGCAACGGGATTCTGCACATGTGCACTCGAGCCTCGCTAAGTGCCGACGATTCCCGCCCCCTCACTCTTATCCACAAAGGGGGCGGCTATGGTAATTCTAGGCCCTGATCAGGGATGTGGAGGAGCATACAGTGGACTAAAGGGCTGGGTACGACGTCCTGCCCCAAAATGGTGAGGATAGAGGAGGAACAGGGGGAGGAGGAGGAGGAGGAGGAGGAGGAGGAGGAGGAGGAGGAGGAGGAGGAGGAGGAGGAGGGGGAGGGGGAGGGGGAGGAGGGAGGAGGATGGAGGAGGAGTAGGCGCATCAGAAAGAGAATGAGGAGGAGGAGGAGGAGGAGGTGGGCGAGCAGAAAGGCCAGAAGTCTCTTGGATGCCTCTCGGAGTCTCTTCGGATTTCTTCCGAGAGCTTCTTGGAGACCGCTTGGGGTGTTCTAGGGTTTCCTTGCCAATCCCATGGGGCCTCTTGGGTGCTTCTGGGGAGCCTCTTAGGGGCCTCTTGGGGGTCTCTTGGAGGCCTCTTAGGGGGGCATTTGGGGCACCTCTTGGAGAGCCTGCCGAGCACCTCTCGTGGCCGTCTTGGGGCGCTCTTGGGAGCCTCGGGGCCGTCCGGGGTCATCTTGGAGGAGATCGATCAAGGGAGGGGTCGCAGTACGTCAGCCCGCCCCCCCCAGGAGGCCAAAATGTTTACAGCACCTTCTCGCCGAGGCCTCATGGAGCGTCTTGAGTGCCTCTGGCGGGGACCTCTTGGGGCGTCTTGGGGGTCCCTTGGGAGCCTCTTGGGAAGATGTTGTGGACCCCTTGGGGGGCCTCTTGGGCAGCTCTTTGGGCCGTCTTGGGGCACCCTTGGGAGCCTCGAGGGCCATGTTTGGGTCATCTTGGAGGAGATCGATCAAAGGAGGGGGGCTCCTCAATTAGGGTTCTACCAGGAGGCCAACATGTGGCCAGAACCTTTGTAGACTCAGTGGTATTGGCCTCCTGGGGGCGTCGTCTTGGATGCCTCAGCGGAGCTTCTTGGGAGCCTCTTGGGGGCGTCTTTGGCGCCTCTTTGGGGGCCTCTTTGGGGCCTCCTGGGCACCTCTCGTGGCCGTCTTGGGGAACCCTTTGGAGCCTCGGAGGCCATCTTGGGGTCAATTGGCGGAGATCGATCAAGGTTCTCCCCCCCTCCCCCCCCCCAGGAGGCAAAATTGTGGCCACAACCTTAGTGACATCAATGATTTGGGCTTCCTCGCCGAGGACATATTGGACGCTCCAACGACCCACGGAACGCCCCCCCCAGACCCAGACCCAGGGGGGGGGGCACGTAGGGGGAGGTGGAGAAGAGGGGAGATGGAACAATTTACTAGCTAAAAATTCTTGTGAGCTTCAGCATGCACGTACAAGTATCGAGGGCGGTCCTTATTTACGATGTGGCTTCCATTTTATTTCCGCGCACATTCGACTCAATCGTTCCCACAACTACGATAACCGATGTATGTTTTTTTCGCACCGGAGTGAGCAATATCGGAGTTCTTAACAGTCATTTGGATGTGGGCCCGATTCATGATAATATTGAGGTCTTGCGTGGGACGCCGTCTTGTTTGTATTGCCAGAAAGTACAGTGTTTGCCAGAGTAGCACGAGCTGGGGGCATTGTGTTTGATGTTCCGTGGTCTCATCGGACATATTTTGGGGTTGGATAATCATACCCAGGTGCCTCTTGGCCGCTCTTCAACATGTAGCTAGTTCGTAGAAATGTTGGTGGTTATGGCTGTGCAAGAGGGTAAAATCTCAGGGGCCCCGGCTAACGGGCGTCCATGAGGCTCTCGTCTTTCAAGGAGCAGTGAGAAGGAATGCTTGTAGTGAGGATGAGGGGATTTGGGACGGAAGGATGGGTTACATAATCGCAGATGCACCTTGGTTGTAATTATTTTGGTCCTCTGGGTTCCTCTTTTGCTCCCTCCTGCTTCCGCGGCCTGCACGCTTCTTCCCTCCTCGTCCCTCCTATCCCACCTCTCCCCCCCCATCTCCCATCTGCCCCTCCCCATCTGCCCCCCCGTATCTCCCCCCTTCTCGTCCTCTCCTCCTCCCGCCTCTTTCCTCCCCGTATCTCCCCCATCTCCTCCCGCATTTCCCCTCCCGCGCCCCTCTCCCCTCCCCCCTCCCCGAGGTACGTCATGGATAATAAGAGCGACTGCGACTGAGAGTGGCTCCGGGCGGGCACTCCCAGGGGGGCCGGGCCGAGGCCCTCCCGCGGAGGCGGCCCCTCTCCAGGCGTCGGGCCCCCCCCCCGTCCGAGTTGCGCCACGCCCGCCCGCGTGCGCGCGAGAGTGTATGATGTCTACTCCAGCAGTGGCGAAGCGTACTGGCTCGCTTACAGCCCTACTGAACTCGGGCCGGGCGAAAGGGGGGGATTGGGAAAGGGGGGGTTACGAAATTTGCTGCATGCAGCTGGTTTCGGCCCGACCGAGGGGCCCATTCCTCGATACATGGCCGCCTCCCGGCGCCGGGAGGCGCCGGGAAAATCAGCTACGTGAGCTGATTCTCAAACCCCCCCTTTGCTATCCCCCCCTTTCGCCCGACCCGATGAACACTGTTCTAAGAACCTTCCTGGTGGTGTCCAGGAAATGTTCTTAGAACATTTCTGGAGGAGTCCGTCTTGTTTTATCACATCGGGCTCACGTTCTAAGAACATTGTTTTTGTTCTTAGAACGTTTCTGGACTCTAAGAACATTTCGTGGTAGGACCATAGGAATGCCGGGACGGTCGGTCACTGCTCAATCTACGGCTATTTTGTTTCGGACGCGATGGCCAGGCCGCGGTGTGGAATTCGCCCTGGCGGCTGGCGGGCGGCGCCCGCCGCGCCGCTCGCGCCCGCCGCGCCGCTCGGTCTGCTCGTGGAACGCCTCCTGTTTGGAGGCGCCGTGTGGAACGCGACAGTTTCACCCCAAGACGGCGAGGCGTGCGGCTGCGCGCGGGCAGCCCCAGGAGGGGGGGGAGGCCAGCCGAACACCGGTGCCGATTTTGGCCAGGCCAAGCGCATGCGCTTCCAAAGCGGACCCCAGGGTTATGTTACCCCCATCGTACTCAAGGACCACATCCCAGAAATAATTTCGAGCACCCAGAAAAGTATCAAAAGAGTGTCGAAACAGTGTCGAACCAGTGTCGGACGAGTGTCTCCCAGGGCCCGACACGTGAAAACCCTCAAGTTTTTGGGTACTATCTTGGCGCTCGAAATTATCTCTAGTGGTCAAGGCTAAAGTAGGTCGTAACATCATAACCCCAGGGAAAGGGCCTCTTTAGACGGGCGATGCCGATTCATCAAGTCCGCTCGGCTTCGCCCACAAGGGCGTCGCGGGACGCTTTCGCCCGCTATTCGAAGTCTCAAGTGCACCGCCGCGATCTCAGCAGTCCTTTCCGCCGGCGTCCCTTAGGAAACGTATCGGTGTCCTGGGCCAGGGAACCAGTGTCTTGGCCAAGCCACGAGGACACACCGACCTTGGCCGAGAATGAGCCAATCCGGCAGTTGGCGTATCGTCTGCGTCGCTCTTGCACAGACAGCCGCCCATAGTCCAGGCTGGGCTGAGCATGCTGCAGGCCCCCCGTGGTGGTCTGGGGCGGTCCTGGCCAGAGCGCCTTCTGGGCGCCGCAGGGGGCAGCGCGAGGGTGGTTGAGACCGCCCCATGCTACTCGGTGGCTCTAGAGGCCACATGGGACTGGCGTCCTGGGGCTGTTCGATCGCAGCCTCACGCCTTGCCAGCCCGGGATCCAGAAGCATCCCCTTCTGGCTGAGCGGAGCCATCTTTCGGTCCCTTTGCTCCGCTGGGCAGGAGGTCGCCTCATCTTGACGACGGGAGGCCAGGGAGACGTGACACTGAATGGGACGGGGAGGCATGCGGGGAAGCGCAGGAAAATGAGAAGAATGAGGTAAAGGCCAGTTTTGAGCCACGAATCCCATGCCCGTAGCGTACAGCGTATAAGATGATGAGGATGACGAGGGCGAGAATGAGAATGAAGATAGTGTTGATGATGCTAATGATAATGATGACACTGCTGATGCTGATGCTGATGCTGATCATGCTGGTGATGCTGCTAATGATGATGCCGATGTTCATTCTGAGGATCATGATGCTGATGATTATGATGATGATGATGCTGATGATGATGATTATGATGATGACGATGATGATGATGATGAGCATGCTGATGATAATCATGATGATGGTGATGCTGATGCTGATGCTGATGCTGCTGGTGATGATGATGCTACTGATGATGGCGATGCTGGCGATCGATGATGATGATGATGGTGATGATGATGATGATGATGATGATGATGATGGTGATGCTGTTGATGGTGATTATGCTGATGATGGTGATGATGATGCTGCTGATGATGTTGATGAGTATGATGATGATGATGATGATGATGATGATGATGATGATGATGATGATGATGATGATGACGAGGAGGAGGAGGAGGAGGAGGAAATAGCAGAGGCAACGGTCCGAGGCCGCGAGTTATCTATCACCACCGTTTGTGAGCTCCATGTTCGGGCACCCTGGAAGGCGTGCAAATGCAAATGTGTTGGCCGTATGGGGCCAGCACGCACATACAGATGTCCATAGATGTAGACACGAGTATGTGCATATGTGTAGGTGTGTACTTATTTACATGTATCCAGATCCACCGCCCGCTGGTTTCCCAGGACGTCGCGTTCCCAGGCGGTAGATCAGAGTGAGGGGGCCGAACGGTCATTAACTGTCCGTGGGTGCGTGGCGCTGAAGTGGGCTTCCGCGGTGCGGATTATTGTTATTGGTGCCGTTGGTGTTGGAGTCTCAGTTCTCAAGAACCAGTATTGTTGATCCCACCTGCCTGGTAACACTGTATTCCTTCAATTGAACTGCTTCTCGCGGCGTTCGCACCTTGCTGTCGACAAGGGACAGCAAATTGTCACCAAACTGGGCCGCTGGCCCCCGGTTTACAGCAACAACGGCCCCCGCTTGATTTTTCTTCACAATGGATTCCCAAATCGTGCTGTCGCGCTGGACGTGCTCACAATCTATACAGGACCCGCGCTCTCGCGTGGGACTTCCGCACAATTTATGCAGACGCCGCGCCCTCGACACTCAGGAATCACGCTCTCGCTTAAGATTTCGTCACGGTTGATTCGGGAATCTCGATTCGCTCGAGTGTTTCTCGCGAATTATGCAGGACGCACGCTTCAGCACCCCGCCTGCCATTTGTCCCCTCCTTTCATCCGTCCTCTCTTCCTCTGCCTTAAGGGGTGGACGGCGTACCTGTAGCAAGTAAAAAGTATTATATCCCCAAGGGTGTACGATCGGAGACGAAGAGGGCGGGTATCGAGAGTTTGGGATGTACGTGCTGAATGGCATGCGAGCAGATAAGAGCGAGCAGTGTTAAACTGATTGTTTTAGTTGTTGTTGGTCTTGTTGGTGTTGTTGAACTCATTTCCCAAAGACACAGGCTGTTGATCCCCCCTCAATGAAAGTAGTTATCCTGGGACTCGCGCCCTGCTTTTATCACGGGGAAGTGAGGAGTCACCAAACGGTGCTGTGTGGCCCGAGTTACAACAACAACGGCTTCCGTATAATATTCCTCACAATGTATTTTCAAATGTTGCTCTCGCGCCGGACTTCCTCAATTTGTGCAGGCATCGCGCTTTCGCGTGGGACTTAAACTCCGCGCCCTCGACTTGGGAGCCTCTTCAGCCGTCTCAAGGCCATCTTGGGCATCTTGGACCGATCGTTCGGCGATTCGGGGCTTTCTGGGACTGTCTCGGGGGCCTCTTGGGGCGCTCTTGGTCCGTTCTGGGGTCCTCTTGGGCCCGAACACGTCATGTGGGAAGACGAGCCGGGGCCCCGGGGGCGCGCGGGAAGCCCCAGGAGTTTTGATAGTTTGTAGTCCAAGTCCGTTGAAGACTCCTCAGGGGTGAGGGCTGAGGCTTCTAGTATCGAGCAAGGGACCTGAGGACACTTCATCTCGTGCCCGAGGGCTCGTGGTGGATGTATACATATATATATATATATACACATGCATATGCACACATATATGTGTGTATACACAAATACGCATGCAGACCGTTGCACACATACGCATATATACACATGTGCGTGTATGTGCACATGGATTTGCATGTGTATGTATATAATCGTAGTTGTACGTGTATGCAGATGTGAGTGTACATATTCATACATATATAGATATATGCGTACGTGCAGTTTTGTATGTATATGTATGTACATATGTTCATGTATATAAATATGTGTGTGCATGTGTATGTACCTATGTATGTGTATGTCACTGAATATAGGTGTGGACATATACTTGAATGTGTATGTGTACATGTATACGCATGTGAATGTGTATGCGTACATACAAGTGTACACGTACATGCATCTACACATGCCTATGTGTATAGTTGAATAGGTGTTTGCCCATGTACATGTTTCCATCCATACATCTATCTATATATATATATATATATATATATATATATATGCACATGCATTCAGAGCTGAAGGGTCGCGCCCTCTGCCGCTGGACCTCAGGGCTGGAGTTTTTGTCAATCAGGCGAAGTTGTGGCGGAGTGGTAGCGGAGCCAGACCAGGAGTTCTCGGGGGCCTCCCGGGGCCCTCCTGGGGGTCCCTCGAGGGCCTTCTGGCGTCATCTCGGCATGTCTTAGTGGCGTTTCGAGCCCCCTTCGAAGCATCCTGGGGCCCTCTTTTGAGACCGAGGCCTCATGGGCCCTTCTTGCCGTGCGGAGGCATCCCCATGGGAATCTTGTGGCAGCCCAAGGCGGCCAGGAATTTAGGGATCCCCTCTCCAGGTGGCTTGCCTGTGTGCCGCAGGCCTCACAGTTTACCGCATAAAGGAGACAGTTCTGGAGAGTTGTGTTCGTTCCCTTGTGCCATACGCCTGAGCGCGCGGGCGTTGTCTACATTCACGCGTAAGTAGATAGATGCATCTTTACACACAAGTATGGGACTGGCCTATGTGCACATATATGCGTATGTCTAAATGTCTGCTTATATGTGTATATGTATATGTATATGTATATGTATATAGGTATAGTATGTGTGTACTCAAACAAACATCTTCACACACAGAGGACCACGCTCAGACGGCCACGGGTAGCCACATATAGCCTTTGATTACCTCGAATGGTTCGGGATTTCGTCT